AAAAAAAAAAAAAAAAAAAAAAGCTAATTAAGTAGTGGAGCAGGTACCTAAGCCTAATCATTCTATCACATCCTGCCTTAGGGAGGGGAAGTTCTCCTCTTCCCCAAAATGGGGATTGGGTTTGAATAAGTGAGATTAAATAAATAATGGCTATCTAGTAGTTATATGGTAGGTCTTGACTATAGAAATAACACAAAAAATATTTAACCCTGAGTTGGTGAACTGTGTTGGGTGATGTGACATCGAAGAGAAGACTAGAGGCAGGAATGTCAGTCAGAAATCTTTCATAGTGGGCTTCCCTGGTGGCACAGCGGTTGAGAATCTGCCTGCTAATGCAGGGGACATGGGTTCGAGCCCTGGTCTGGGAGGATCCCACATGCCACGGAGCAACTGGGCCCATGAGCCACAACTACTGAGCCTGCGCATCTGGAGCCTGTGCTCCGCAACAAGAGAGGCCGCGATAGTGAGAGGCCTGCGCACCGTGATGAAGAGTGGCCCCCGCTTGCCACACTAGAGAAAGCCCTCACACAGAAACGAAGACGCAACACAGCAAAAATTAATTAATTAATAAACTCCTACCCTCAACATCTTAAAAAAAAAAAAAGGAAATCTTTCATAGTATTCTAAGAATACACTGATAGGGGTTTCAAGTCCAATCATCTTCAAGTACAGTAAAGCCTCGTTAATTTAGACTATAGTATATGGAATTGGCAATAATCTATACACGAATTGAGAAACAAAGAAAATCTGAAAACGTTCTTCACACTCCCTCCACCTCCCCACCAGTTCAGCTCGAATCAAAGCTCTGACATTCCCCAGTAACTTCTGCCTAATGGCCACACTAAATTCTAGGTAATAGAATAACTGAGCCCAAACCACAAAGAGTAGCATTCTGTACACGATAGCATACAAATATAAGCTACCATGCCTTCTTCCATTTTTCGTTGGTTCACCTTCACCAACATTTTTTCCTTTATTTAGCATCTACTTTAGTAAGGCCTTCTGCCAGATAATGGAGACATAGAGCTGGATAAGATCATATAACAGCTCAGTCCAATAACACTGGAAATTATGAGACCACCAAGCAGTTCACAGCTGAGACATACACAAAAAATAGGGCCAAACAGAAAGATTTAGAGAATGAAAGTACTGAAGATAAATTAAGTCAAAGGGTTGAAAAGCAAATAGGAGTCAGGAAGCAAGGAGAAGGAATGGTTTTTTGAGACCTGAAAGCATAAAACAGTGATATGTTTAGGCAAGAAGGTCCCTGTGATTGGAGGGTTACAGGGTGGTATGCTTAGAAACATTGGTAGCGATTAGATCCTAAAAAGATATGTCATGCTAAGAAACTGGGACTTTTCCTTGTGAATCAATATTTCCCAGTCATGACCATGGAACCCTTTGAAATCATGTGAAGAAGAAATACCAACAGTAGTACAGGTTTAAATTTTTGATTCTTTACCTTTCTTAAAATCTAAGAGGTATAAAAAATAAATAAATCATTCTTTTTAAACCCCAAGATATCATCAGTGAAGTAAATCATCTTTTATTTTCATCTTATATTTGGTTATCAAGAGGCATGCAAAACCCTCCAATTTTAATGAGAACAGTGTTTTTGTGTCTTTTTGTCACATATCCGCTTAATATTAGGTGTAATGTTGCTAAGTCGGATCCGCATGTGAGGTGCAGCATCCAGTCTTTTCCTGTATTTCGTTTTTGTTGCAGCATAATATGAAAATCCTGTCTCACACAGGTGCATTGTAGCAAAAGGAAGAAGTACACGAACTGCACGCCTTGCAACACTTGGGTACTCTTGAATTAGGCTACTCCAAAAATCATTCAGTGAAAATTCACTGAAATTTTGTTTCACTTGAGAATCAGATGTTAAATCAATCAGGCTCTCATAGTCCCGTGCTACTAATGAGGCTGGTTTAACAGTTACTGTAAATGGATTTCTAACCCAAGCATTACTGTCATTTGTTACAGGAAAATATTTTAACAGAGTAGAGCGCAAACCCCTTAGGTGGTGCACTATGGCACTGCAAATATCTTTATCAACTGTAGAATTAATTTCAGTCAAAAAGTCACTGAGTGTAGGAAAACAATCAAAGTTTTCTTCTTCGACAGATGAGGCCCAAAATTCCAATTTTCTTAACAAAGATGACATTTTATCAAATACTGTGAACACTGTCACATTTTTCCCTTGCATTGACAGATTAACCTCATTTAATTTAGTAAAAATATCTGCAAGATATGCAAGTCTTAGCAGCCAAGATGAATTTGTTAAACAATCAGACAGTCGAAAAGCAGAATCCATGAAAACCAACAGTTCACGACGAAGCTCAAAAAGTCTTACGAGAACTTTACCTCGGGAAAGCCACCTCACCTCTGTATTTAGAAGAAGGGCTGTGTGCTGGGCACCCATTTCTTCACACAAAATTTTTAGTAGCCTGGATTGATGTGGTCGAGCTTTAATATAATTGATGATTTGTACGGCCTGATCTAGCACATTTTTCAGAGATGCAGGCATTGTTTTAACTGCTAGTGCATGTCTATATAACAGGCAGTGACTACTGGAGCTTTCGGGAGCCACATATTTTATCAAGGTGACAGCCTCAGCAATTTTCCCGTCCATTGCCCTGGAAGCATCACTACAAACATCAACACATTTCTCCCATTCAATTTCATGTTTCTGCATAAAACTGTTAATGCAGTTGAAAATTTCTTCACCAGTGGCATTACTCTGCAAAGACTCACATAAAAGTAGGTCTTCCTCAATAGACTTATTAAACCTGTAACGAACAAACACAAGCAGCACAGCAAGTCCTGAAACATCAGCTGATTCATCTAGTTGCAGTGAAAACCCATCACAAATTTTCAGTCTACAAACAAGTTCTTCTTCAATGTCAGCAGCTAGATCCTTAATTCGACGTGCAACAGTACTGTTTGATAGTTGTACTGCATCTATTTTTTTACTATATTGTTCGTCAAACATCCGCATCACCACATCTTTTGCACAAGGCTTGATAAGCAATTCTCCAATAGTATGAGCCTCTCCACTCAGGGCTATATGGTAACTTACATTGTATGACGCTTCTGTAGCACTTTCATTATCTGTATTGACAATTTTAGGTGCTGGGGGTTTATTATTTTCAGGTGAATCAAGATGTTGCTTGAAAAAGCTTATGTCTTTGTCTTTGTATGCAGCATGTTTAGTTTCCAAATGTCTTCGAAGCTTACTAGGGGCCAAAGAGCTATTTGATAAAATTTTCTTACATAATACACACTGGGCATGAGGTGCATCTCTATTTCCAAAGTAAGTAAATCCAAAAGACAAATAACTTTCATCATATTTTCTTCTTTTTGGTTTCTTACTAAATGTTGTTATTTTGTTGGAATTGGACATAAATTTGACCCTGGAAAGCTCACCTTCTGAATGTTTAGAAACTGCAGGCTGCAACTGCTCATCTTCACTCTGTAATATTCCAACCTTTTGATCATTTGATTCAGACACAATTTGATAACAAAAAGATTCTACTTCTTGTTTAAGACTTCCTTGTTTCAGCAACAGATCCATAGGCAATGAATTTGTGGTACAAAACATGGTTAATTTAGAATAAACATTGAGTATCACAAATGTGTTGAAATTATAAGACAGGATACATAGAAGATGAGCAACCATCAAAGAGATGATATATAGCAACACATCAGTTAATTTGTAAGTGCTGCCTATGCATCAACGCGCAGATGGAACATCACACGTTCGTGTATCAGGTGATCTCTCATTCGACTTCCTGGTGCTCTCAGGTATGGCACACCTTTTCTTAAAGGTAGATTATCACATAAAAATAAAAGCTATAGAAATGAGTTTAGTAGTCTTAAACTTACATTTTAAAATAAATTCTAAAAGAAGAAACTATTGTTAGCATTGATCTTTTTCTTACGACGCTTATTAACTTAAGGTAACATTAATCTTCTATAAAACACAGTTTGGGAACCATTGGACTAAGAAATAATGAGTTGATAAACGCATTTTTAAGGAAGGGACCTTGAGGTCCCATGGCAGGGTTGGCAAACTTCTCCTGTAAAGTGCCATACGGTAAATGTTTTTTACCTGATGGGCCGTATGGTCTCTGTTGCCAACTACTCAGCTTTGTAGTTGTAGCATGGCAGCAGCCATAGACAAAACGTCAAAGAATGGGCAAGTTGTGTTCCAATAAATCTCTATTTATAAAAACAGACAGCGTGGGACCATAATTTATCATCCCCTTTCATGATATACAGTATCTTGGAATCTCTTCTAGCTTTCTGATGCCTACTGCCATTAGATACATTCACTGTTGACACCGTCATACATCTTAAGGCTCCTTTCAGGGCTAGTAATTATTCTGATAAGCTATGTCAAAAACACAAACAGTTCAAAGTTTTGCAAGACACAGAATTCTGTCGTATCTAAACACTGTGTGTTAACATTGAAAAATAAACTGTAAACCAAAAGTTAGCTACTATTTCTCTGGACTTAAATTACATAAATATTTATATTATCCAAAATAAGACTCATTCAAAATAATGCATATATTTTACTGATTACATCCCATTATTCTTTAGGTGAAGGCTTAACGAAGACCTACAGAAAACTTTCATTTAAATAGTTTTATTCCTCATATAATAGTTTTTTAAAAGCATAATTAAATGGAAGGGTAATGCAAATTTTAGGACCTCTGATGAATACCAGCCTTATAAGTTAAGGCATTCAAATTTAGTATCTACCTAAATATAGCTAGTTTGATTTCAAGTTTGATTTAAACTTTATGATTTGGCTCAGAGTAAGCTTTGGATTCTCATATCAGATCCTGAATCAAAATGGTTTTCTCAGTAACAGCTAGAGGGTAAGATACCTGAAATGAGGAGCACTCCCTTCTGCAATCACTCTCTCCACCTTGGCAGCTTGAAACGCAGACGCTTCAAAAAAAAATAAAATTAAGGGATAGGGTGGAAGGGGAGTAACCAAAAGCCTAGAATGAGAAAAAATAAAATTAGACACTACAAAAGGAGAACGAACTATACACCTCTAAGATGACCATTCTTTACAATTTATTTTAGAGTCAAGCAGTGCAAACGATTCTTCACTGCAATGCAGATCTTAGACTGAAATAGAAGATGCCTAACATAGTAAAAATGTTAATATTTTCGTCCTGTTTAATACCCTGGTAATTTCATTATTTTGTACGCTCCCCCATCCACTGACTTCAAAGAAAAACATTAAAAACTCTCAGAAGCGAAACCTAACTTTTTAAAGTACAGCCACACCTTAGTGTCTCTAAAACTAAGCACTGAAAGTAATCTAAAATGGAATTATACATGGAAGGGTTACATGAACTATGCTTTTTTGTTACAACCACTCTTGTCTCAATAACCAAGCTCCTTAACTTACTAATGTTTATTGAGTGATCATTGTTTACTCTGTGCCAGCAACTGCTAAATCCCTCCTAGATTAGGTCACTTAATCCTCAAAACAAACCTGAGAGTCAGGGACTATTATTAATAACCGCACTTTAGGGATGAACAAATAGATACAGAGAGGCTAAGTCACCTGCTAAGTTAACACATCTGTGAAGAACTCAGAACAGAACCCAGAAAGTTCGACTGCAGAGCCCACGTGCCTAGTCACTGCTTGTGTGTCCCTGAATACTCTTAATCTCTCAAGCACTACAAAAATCTGTTACCAGGAGTTGGATGGTGCAGAGAGAAATGAATTACAATGGGTTACAACTGCCAGAAAGTCGAGGGTCTCAAACTGGCAGCAGGAGAAAGCCCTACATCTTCATTACTGGGAGCCAAAGAGTAGACCGTCCTTTCACAGTCCTGAATGCGCTTTAGCTGCCGAGAACTTCATGGAGCCGCTGGGTGACCTCAAAACTTAGGATCCCTCTCCCCTGCTACCAGAGAAGGACACGACGGAGTGAAAACGCTTTGTTCCTAGGGCCTCAGTTCCACCTTTTTAGAGGTGCTTCCCTGAATCTCTCGAGGACAAAGAGACTGGACTCCCTAGAGTAAAGTTTCTATTAGACTCCCTGAAAAGGGGCGGGGGGAACCCTCATCTTTTGTCTCTTCGGCTACGGTGACAGGTAGCACCCTCCATTCAACCCCCACCCTCAGGCGGTTCCTGTTCTGAACAATACCCGTGGGGCAGGAGGGCTGGGTAGGAGTGCAGTCCATTCATAAGCCGAAGCAGGAGGTGGGCACGGACACCCCGTCCAGCACCTAAGTACTTTTTACAACGGTCACCTCGATGGGCGGTCCGGCCACCTATCCCTCGGCTGCTCCTTGTCACAGGAGCGCGCTGCCCACCACAGTTGGGGGGCTGGCTTCCTGTGGGCGTCCACCCTCGCCTATGGAACTGCTCTCGCGTCCCCGGGCGGTCGCCTCAGCTAACAACCACAGGAAAACGTCTCAGCACCCGCCGCTACCTTTCTCCTTCATCTCCAGCAGTGATGGAGAAAAGGGTCTCGGCTGCGGCTAGGCTGCGGAGCAGCGCCGCGGTCCCCAGCTGAGCCTGCGGCCGCCATTTTACAAAGCTCACGGCAGCGGCCATTTCAGAGCGCACCACTCAGCCGCCGCGGCGGCTCTGGTCCTCACCTTCACCGAGGCCTGAACGGGGTCAAGAGCCAGTCGTCGCGGACTGGAGGGGAGAGGGGGGAAGGGAGGAAGGGGAGAAATGAAAAACAAAACAGAGGGAAGAAGGATTCGGGGTGGGCCGGGCGATGCTCTCAGCTCAGGGATATCGCCTATGCCACCTCCATAGAGATCCAATTCGCGGCGGGCGCGGTAGCTCGTCTGAAGATAAATTTAGCACTCTGGGGCACCCGAACATACTGTCTCCTTGAGTGACTCCGCCGTCGCCCAATAAGCGCCGGAGTTGCTCCCCGACACCAATCCGCGCTGAGCAGTGGGGTGGGACCAAAGGAAAGGACCAAGCTCGGTTGAGGCGTTGCCCAGCTGCCGTTGCCCCTGGCAGTCTGGAATCGTGAGCTGTAGGAGGCTGAGTTGAGTGGCAGACGTTGAATAGATTGTTTTCAAATTTCCCTGGGCCAGAGGAGCCCCGGCATTTGTTTACAGTGTAGAGTCCTGGGTGCTGCGAGATAGCATTTGTGATCCTGTAGGGCTGGACTGGCTTTGAGAAATCTGCGTATCCACAAGCACTGGGGCTCTGCCCCGGCGGCAGATTTGAGTGGATTCGCAGAGTCTCGGCTGCTGGTGCTTTCACGCCCTCTTTGTTCCCCGAGCCGCACCCCAGGCCCAGATTGCGCAACCGCCTCCTTTTTTCCTTGTTTTCTCACTGGAATCGGGGCAGAAAACTCCCTCTCCCTTCCCCGCCCCTCCCCGTCGCTGGCGTGTCGGGGGCCCCTAGCGCGCAGAGCTGGGAGCTGAGCCTGATCTTGCCGGGGCGCTGCTCTCGGGTGACCCCACATGGGGTCGGGGAGCCGCGTGTTACAGCAGCGTCTCCGCAGCGTCAACGGGAAAGAGGCCACTTCCTGTGCCTTTGCACCCCTCACTGGTGGCTCCCTCCTCGGAGGAACGTCCAGTGCTCCAGAACACTCAGTTAACATCGGGTGTTTTAAGCCCATTTCTTCTACGTCCATCCCCTCTTTTTAAAAACAACACAGCAAAAGGCTTCGGGCTGTGTATTCCGTTATTCCATATTGTGTGAGATCCGTCGTGGCGACTTGCAGTCTGTTTTTCCAAACTGGCATCTTAAAATATGTACGCTTCTTGGAGGGAATTTGTTAAAATACGCGTAGCATTAAACAGTGGGTCCTATTGTTTGCAATATTTTAGATTTTCGAGGCCCCGTAGAAAGAGCCAAATGAAAGTTGGATCTTGTTTTTAGGCGCTGCACCAATGACAGAAAATTCCCAACTTGTGGTCAAAAGCAAGGGCAGCTTTTGTTTTTCTTAAATATGCTCTTCTTTGATATGCGAATAAATTTCTTAGGCGTTGAAAGAAGTCTAACCTTTTATTTAACAGAATTTTCAGGAGGACTGAAAAAGATGATTTCCTAGGACTGATCATAGATGTTAACATTTGGTCCTAAATGCTTTAAAGTCATTTCAGCATCTTCAGAACTTTGCCCTATGGTAGGCTATCCATATGTTTTTATTATCATTTTAAAATGATTCCTCTTAAATCGGCCTCATTTGAGGGGGAAATCATTTTGGGGAAGGGGCGCAATTTTACTTGAAGAGCGAAGAATTTCATTTTGTAATTGCAGGAGTTGTCTAGCTTCTTAATAATATTGGAATAATATCCCACATTTTCATATGTTTTATATTTCAGAAAAGCCTTTTACATATATGCTCCCAATCTAATCTTCAAGTATCTGGTTCACATCTTCATGAATTGGGAAAATCCAAAACATTCAGCTGATAACAAATTCAACTGAAGTCAAGTCTAGGATTTAACCTAGGTCCAAAAATCCGAAGTCTGATAATTAAGGGGCTTGAAACATAAGAACTTTTTCTGTAATTGATTAGTCAATATGTTATTATAGGATGTTGGTTGCTGAGACAGATAAGAAAACGTATAGACAATGTAGAACTCAGACCGATAATGATAATGGCTAGCATTTATTGAATATGCAGTATTGGCAGAGGCTGTTCTATCTACACACTTTTTAAAGTACTAGCTCATTTACTCTTTACAACCCTGTCAGATGACTATGCCTATTTTACAGATAAGGAAACTGAGCACAGATTGGTAAATAAATTGCCCAAGTTCCCACAGCTAATTGTTGGCAGAGCCAAGAATAAGTGCAGTGAGGTTGTGGGAACTACAGGCCATGTGTGTCTGGGCGGGGTGTGCTTGTGCATATTTATATAAGGCAGAAAACGATTTCAAGTAATATATTGGGTAAGCAGGTAGAGCTTCACCATGAAAATGGAACTCGGTTAGTTACTTGGGGCTCAAGTAACTAACCAAGTTACTTCCCATAAAATCATCACGGGAAATAGTAACAGGAATTTTGACTGATATCCCAAATTTGCAGGCTTAGTTGCTGTGAGAGGTCTGAGATGGCAATTCTGTTCATGTTGGTTGCGTGAGTTAATTTGCACTGCAGTTAGGTTTGCCAGAAGCAGATGATGAGACAGGGAGCTCTGGAGTCAGTATTGTAGGTTGGAGTGTCCCACTCCACCCTTTATAGATAGTATATGGCGGCCATGGGAAGGGCAGGACTGCAGCTCAGGCAGACCCTGAATGCGCTGACAGCTGTAGGCCATCTGCTGATCACACTACTGGCCCCTGAGCAGGGCAGCAAATCCTTTCTTGAAGAAGGATCTGAGTGGCACATCTCCATGCCTGCCATAATGTGTCACCTTTAATATAAAAAACGTGGTAAATTAATACAATTTTCATTATTTCTGTGAAAGTTAATAATTTCTGTGGTGTTGTGTGCTTTGTGAACTTTTAAGATCTATGGGGGAGGGTGGGAGTTTAGTGGGTAGGGGGAGGAGGAATTGGATGAGGACAATCAGAAGGTACAAACTTGCAGTTATAAGATAAATAGTACTAAGGATGCAATGTACAACATGATCGATATAATTGACACTGATGTGTGTTATATATGAAAGTTGTTAAGAGAGTAAACCCTAAGAGTTCTCATCACAAGATACTCTTTTTACTATTTCTTTATTTTGTACCTATATGAGATGATGAATGTTCACTAAACTTGTGATAATCACTTCATGATGTATGTAAATCAAATCATAATGTTGTACACTTTAAACTTATACAGTGCAGTATGTCAATTATATCTCAATAAAACTGGGAGGAAAAAAATATGAAACATCTAAGAGAATTTTGTGACCACAGGTATAAGATTGATTTATCGCTATTAGATTTACAAGAGTTATGTAAGTGCTTATAAAATTTCACTGCCAAGATGTTAGATATATTACATTTGTAATTGTAGTTTAAGATATCTAAGAAAATTTAATTAATGGAGTATGCAAGTGATGTTAAATATTCAAGAAGTATATAGTCTGTTATGCTTATGAATTAATTAAATCATAGAGAATAAGTGAGTGATTGTCCATATTTTTATGCAAATTATGAGATTTATAAATAGACTAACAAGATTTATAAATTGAGCTTTTTAGAGGCTTAATACAAGTTTACAATTTTAATGTCTTTGCCTATTAATAAACAAATTAGTCATGTCAATTATCAGTTTTTATTGTAGCTAGTATTCACTCCCAGGACTTTCACTATTCCCTCTATGTTCAATGATTCTCAAAAATATAACATGAGCCCCGACTTCCCACTTGAACTTCAGTTCTGGATTTTCAAGTCTGTAGACTTTCTATTTGAATATACACCAACAGCTCAAACGCAGCATGTTCAGAACTGTACTAAATCTCTCCTAACACTTTTACTTTCTCAACGACTTCATTTTTGTTAAAGATTTTATCATTATTTATTTATTTTGTGGTACGCGGGCCTCTCACCGCTGTGGCCTCTCCCGTCGCGGAGCACAGGCTCTGGAGGCGCAGGCCCAGCGGCCATGGCCCACGGGCCCAGCCGCTCCGCGCCATGGGGGATCCTCCTGGACCGGGACACGAACCTGCATCCCCCGCATCGGCAGGCGGACTCCCAACCACTGCACCACCAGGGAAGCCCTTATCATTATTTTAATATCGCAAACTAGCAAGCTTTTGGCGTCAATAGTCACTCTTCACTCATCTTCATATTCCGTATGTGCAGGCATCAAATTGTTATTTTCTTCTAATGTTTCTTAGGTTCATCCACATCCCTCCATCACTATCGCATGTTCTCCAGACCAGGCTCAAGAAATGTTCCTTCTAAATTATTGCCACAGTCTTCTTAGCTTCCATTGTTTTTCCATTTAATTGGTTTAGCATACCAATCTTCCATATTTTAGAATCTTGGAGTGACTCACTAGTCCTTCTATGTCATGGCATAGAATCATAAAACTTTAGAGCTGAAGAAAATCTGTAGAAAATAATATAGTCTTCACTCAGTATCTGTAGGGGTTTGGTTCCAGGACCCCTGCCCCTTGGATACCAAAAATCTGTGGATGTGCAAGTACTTTTTATAAAATGGCATAGTATTTGCATATAATCTGCTCACATCCTCCTGTACACTTTAAATCATCTCTAGATTACTTACCACACCTAATACAATGTAAATGCATGTAAGTAGTAATAAATTCAATGTAAATGTTATGTAAATAGTTGCTGATGCTTGGCAAATTCAAGTTTTGCTTTTTGGAACTTTCTGGAATTTTTTTTCTGAATATTTTTGATCCAAAGTTGGTTGAATCCTCGGATGTGGAAACTAGATATGTAGAGCCAACGGTACAATGTAATCCCCTTTTTCCTCCGTCCTACAGAAGAGAGGAATGAATCCCAGAGTTATTGCATGACTTTGATGTCACATTGATAACTGGTGACAACGCTGAAATAGATCTCAAGGTGTATGAGGCATGTCTTAGGATTTTTTTTTTAATTTCTCATTTTACTGGACATTTAACTGTTCATTTGGCATATATGCCGTAAATATTTTTTAAATAAATTTATTCATTTTATTTTTGGTTGCATTGGGTCTTCGTTGCTGCGCACGGGCTTTCTCTAGTTGTGGCGAGCAGGGGCTACTCTTCGTCGCGGTGCGCGGGCTTCTCATTTTGGTGCCTTCTCTTGTTGCGAAGCACGGGCCCTAGGCGCACGGGCTTCAGTAGTTGTGGCGCATGGGCTCATTAGTTGTGGCTCGTGGGTTCTAGAGCACAGGCTCAGTAGTTGTGGCGCATGGGCTTATTTGCTCTGCAGTATGTGGGATCTTCCT